TTACGTGTGTGTACCACGTGATACTCAGTGACCCACGTACTGACGTTTTCTGATTCACGACATACCGTGTATGGAGGCTCACCCACGTTCCGCCAGAACGTGGGTGAAAATCAGAATGGAGCGCATTGTGCGAGCTGTGAGGGTGCTCAGCTGAAGAAGTTTCCGAAGCACGAAATCAAAATATTCGATGAGCTTCTTAGGCCCGGGTAGCTTCGTCTTTGACCAGGTTTGGGCCTTTCGCTTCATGATTTTGTTTGTTCCGTGTGACTAAACACAACATTGCAACGTGGATGCCCTTCATCCACTTTACGTGTATCACCCACGTACGCGTTTCCGTTACGTGGGAACTAAACCTCCCTATTATAGCGTAACTTGTAGTTCCTGGGCCCTTTTCTTTTCTATTTTAATATATCCTTGGCTCTCCATCCGATATTATTTTTGGTTGAGTAATATGGGGGTGAACACACACCTGGCAATATGGCGGTTATTACACGCCTGCCCACACACGCTCTCTAGGCTGCAAAGTTATTCTGGCACAGAGCTCTCCTTCTCACCACCACCATCATCAGTTCGTGCCTGGCGCCTAAATGTATAGTTGATGCATGCGTAGCGGTGGGGGGGGGGGGGGGGGGGGGGGGTATTTTTGGAATGGCAAAAATGTGTTTTGCTTTTGATAATTATTTTGTTCTGATATCACTTGTCTAGCCGATATATCCCTACACCGGCCCCCAGTACAAACTGTACATGTACTGGCATTCAGACCAAGTTGAACCCATGAGGAGGAAAACAAAACCCTGTAAAAAGGCAGCCCAAAACCAGGGTTCTAGCCAAAGAGGGGTGGGGGGTGCAGCCCCCCCCCCCCCCCCCCCACTCAGTTGTCGATAGTCATTAGATGAGGGTTCAAAAGGCACACTTGTCTGGCACGGCTGTTTGTATTGCACATAATCCGGACTTTTGGTTTTGTACGGGACAACCGCAGAAATTTGAATTTTTTGAAGATGACGACACCGCTTTTTCAAGGATTTAGTGGGATCAACTGAGGTAAAACAGCTGAATCCCAGCGAATCCACAGGGTTTACAGGGTGTTTTTTTCTCCTTCCCGTTGCCTTGCATGTCGTGTCCCTTGAGGAAGTTTTGTTGCTGCTGGCTCTTTGCTTTCGTCGTCGTGGTGGAGGCTTTCTACTGCTGTTGTGAGTACGTCGTAATTGTCAGAGAAGACACCATTTCTTGCTGCTGCTGTCCGTGAGTGCCAGTTTCCCTGTACTTGTAGTTAATTTTTATTTATTCCTCCGTCTGTATAGACGGCCATTACGTGTTTCTTGTTGCATTCACAACATTGCTTTCGTGAATACATCACCTCTTATGGGTGTGGGTTGGGTATGGTGGAACCTCAGCTATGGAGGGGCATATCGAGAAGTTGAAGCTCCGATGTTGTGTAGGGGACAAGCTTTTCTCCTCACTCCATCGAGGAACGAAATACCCTATAGTGGAGTACAAGCCAGAGATCAGGCAGTGTTTTGGGGTGAACACTGAGAGTGATTTGGCTGATGTGCACCCACCTTTCTTTTGTGCAAAATGCATGGCCACGATTCGTATTCGTGACAAAAGGAACCTTCAACAGTGTCCAGATACCTACAATGCTGGCTGTGGTGCTGCTGTTGTTTGGGAGCCTCATGATAAGAGTGCAGTCTGTGTGGTGCGCGAAAAATCAAAGGGTGGCAGGCCTGCAAAGCGCAGTAAAGCCTCATTATCTAGTGCCACATGCACTTCCCACTCTGTCCGTGTATGCAGCACTAGCACTCCCAATGGCATTGATATGCCCAAGGCAGAGTTTTCGGAGAGGGCCGCTCCACGTCAGCGGACATCAGAACACCTTTATCCATCTAGGATGAGAAATCCTCTGCCCTCCTTGTTGTGTAGTGCATGTCTCTTTGTTGCAGACCAGTGTGTAGAATCCTCTTGCTGCACAAAGCTTGTCTGTGCCGAGTGCATCTAGGAGTGGTTGCAACACAACTCCTGCTGTCCACAATGTGAAGCCAGCACAACCCTTTTCGCAATACGCACATGTGCATCCGCTTGTGCAGGCAGCGTTGCGTGATGCACAACTACGGTGTGATTTTGCCATTGACACTTCACTGGCTGGTTGTCAGCAGTTTGTCAGACTGCAGGATTTGGCTTTGCATTGCCAGAGTTGCCCGTCACGGCCCAGTTCCTCTGCAGGTCATCACGCTGTTGTAACACAATCGTCCAGCGTACAAGATGTCCTGAATGCATCGCCGTCAAAACTACAAGGCAAGGTGTCCGAAAATCTTCTTAGTAAGCTTGTCGCACACAAGCAGAAGGATGGGACATTTGCGCAGGGTACGGGTGGGCAGCCTATCACTTGGGTAAGGCAAACTTCAGCAAGGGTTTCTTCTGCTTCTTTTCAGAACGCACCTTGAGGAGAAGAAGAGCTGAGCTTGAGAGAGAGAGCGTGAGGCCGTATGTGGTGGTAAAGAGGGTAGCTTTGCGCAGCAAGTTCACGAAACGCACACCCTTCCATCGGCTGAGAGGGATAGTCTCCTCAAGTCTGCGGGTGTCTTTCCACCATCTTCGACAGAGCCTGGTGTAGGTCTTGCAATCAAGGCAGATCTTAATCTTCCCTGGGCAGGACTTCGCAAACTTCAGAGGTGGCTGAAGCTGTTTCGAGTTCCGATAGAGTCGGAGGGCAGCATGAGAAAGAGGCTTGATGAAGACCTCCCTTTTGATATCCTTGCAGAGGAGCTTCCTCTTCAAGCTAGGTCTGGTGAGGTAGTGATGTCTCCTGTGGTGAGGTTCGATTCCTTAGTCAAGGTAGTCCTTCAATACCTTGACATGTACGAGAGTGTGGGTCAGCTCACTTGGCGTGACGGGGCGATTCCCGACGATGAAGTCTGGGTGAAAGTTGGCGGAGATCATGGCGGTAAATCGTTTAAGATGATGTTCCAGATTGCTAACCTTGATCATCCCAATTCTCTTCACAACACCATCCCTTTTCTTGTCTTTACGGGTAAAGACCTGCCTTCCAACCTTGAGACCACCTTCAACCTTTTCGAGAATCAGTTTCAGGAGCTTGGGGCTACTGTGTTGAAGGATAAGAAGATTAGGCTTATTCTTTTCGGGATTACGAATTCCTTTCGTTGTCTTATGGCCTTTCTGGTCCGGCTGGGGTGCACTCTTGCATTTATCGCCGCTCAGGCAAAGCCGACATGCAACTACCACACGCTCCCTTTGCTGAACGCAGCTTGCATAGCATGAACGAATGCTACAAATCCTTTTCGGCTGCGGGGCATGTTTTACCAAAGGCAAAGCACTTCTACAATTGCATCCGCCCATCCCTCTTTTGCATCGAGCCACAAGATGTCTGTGTTCCTGTGCTACACCTCGACCTTGGCATCTTCCCATGGCTCTTCGAGAGCATGATCAGAGATGCTAAGGATATTGACACCACCTTGGCACAGATCAGTCTCTCAGTCTCTGAATCTGCCAGTGCGGAGTTTAGTAAAGCCGTCCGTCAACAACAACAAATCCAACATGACAGAGACCAACTACAAACTCTCAACACGCAAATACATCAGAAGCAATTTCAACTACAATGGCTTCTGCAACAACACAACACAACCTGAACATGCAACAACACAACACAACCTGAACATGCAACAACACAACACAACCTGAACATGCAACAACAACACACTGAACACGTAGCACAAACAATTCAAACCGAGTGGCGCAATTTACAACAATCAGCACAGAAATTAGAAGCAGAGATTGAACGCATGAAAACAGAGCTTGACAAATCAGTTCCGGCAACCGGCCCGTGCGTACAGTCGTTCGAGCCTGTGCTGCAACGCCACCACATTCACAGACAGGCGTACCACAGTGGTGCATTCGTGGGCAACCACATTCACATGGCTCTGCAGGACAAGGTCATCGCAGAACTGTCCAATGCACCCTCAGCAGCTATCCAGAAGCTCCATGCAGACGGACATCTGCAGCAACAGCATGTTGCACGCTTGCAGGCGGATGCAGATACCTTTTCTACACGGTACGTCATGCTGCTCACCACCTATGCCAGGGTACGGAAGATCTTCTCTTCATGCAACAAGCTTGAAGATGGTGAACTCGCCTCTCTTGAAGGAGAAGTGAAGGTTTTCTTGGCAGCAGTGAGACGGGAAATCATCACGCGGCAGAAGCGCAACATCACCCCAAAGTTGCACCTTCTCGAACACCACCTTGTTCCTTGCATGAAACGGTTTGGCGTGTGCTTGGGTCTCTTGGGAGAACGGGGGGGGGGGGGGGGGGCGAAGGAATACATCATCGCTTCAAGGAGTTGGAGCGGCGCTTTGCCAGCATCACCACGACAGTGGGACAACTGAGGATGATTGTAAAGCAGCGCTTGATCTCCACCATTGCATCCCACCGTCAACTAGTGCCATCGCCTGCTCCACGCAGGAAGACATCTTCTGCCAGCAGTAGCACTATAGCTTAGAGCAGCAAAACTTCCTCGTAAGGCCATTTTAATCTTTACGTTACGTGTTTCCAGTTTGCAATTGTACTAGTACTGAATTCACTCCAGTAATTTCTCTCAGAATTGTTTGCACTTGACTGTTGGAGCGCAATTTGCACGGGCTGGTTGGTGGGCGAGTTGGTGGTCGGCGGAACAGAAAGCTTCCCACCAGCTTGCTTACCGAGACAGGTGATTGCTGGAGGATGTCAACGGCCGACAACAAGGTAAAGAAAGTTTAATTATTCGTCTAAAAGCACTCACAAAACTTCTCTGCTTTTCCAGTTTCTTGTTCAAACTCAAGTGCCGCGTGCAAAGATCCGCCGAAGCGTCATCGATTGTACTCATTTCCCGTAGCTGTCATAAGAACGCGCTGAGCACCGTACTCAATTGCTGATCATATGACTTATATGTGTACGTGCGCGTGCACTGCACGCGTGGACTGCATGGCAGATCAACGCCATATTGCTAAATGTCCGCACACAAACAGACGTGCTGGGCAGGGAGTCGTAAAATACCGGTATTTTACGACTCCCTGGTGCTGGGGTAAAGTCGGGGCATGTTGTACTTTGCGCGGCATATAAGGCAATTTTGGAAAATCGGAAAAAATGGGTTACGGCAAGAGTACATAACCCCCCAGAGTGTGCAACGCCGATCCAGCTCTGCATAGGGTCTTGGGCGAGCGTAACCGGATCTTCTGATGTCATGCGTACACTCCACACCAGCGCAAGGCCGGTCTCGAGGCAGGGCACCGTGGTTTTTGATCCGAGAGTACCCGCGAACCCCCGGGTTCCCCTCAGATGTGTACCGTATTATGACGCAAAGATCCGATTACGCTCGACCAAGACCCTATGCAGAGCTGGATCAGGCGTTGCACACTCTGGGCGGTTATGTACTCTTGGTTACGGGGTAACTGTTTCCCCTTCTAGCTTTACCTCGCAAGAACCATGGAGACCATAGCTCAAGTTACTATTGGGTAGTGGGTCGTGGAACACAGCAGGACACTGCTTGTACCTGGACATACCTGAGCACGTCATACAAATAATTCCTGCTGTGAATGCGTGAGGCCTGGAGAAAGCCCACGTGTTGAAGAAATTCCAGAGATGAACATTTCAAATTTTTTTAAATTGATGTCTCCGCCTCGTTTATTTACGAACATTTCAAGCCACTTTTCAATTTCATTGTCATGTTCTTCAAGTATTTCGTTTTCGTTCATTCATTCGCTGATTTCACCCCTTCTTGCGCTCACCTGGGCGACGTTGCCGACTATGACTGCGTCCACGGCTGTAGCGGGAACATTGCCACTCGCCAGGGCAGCTTTCGTGGCATGGGCAGCGAGGTCCGTGGCCGACACATCTTTCAACTTGCCAAGAAACGTCCCAAATGGGGTACGTTTGGCAGCTACAACGTATACGGTTCTTAGGCCTGCACCACTCATTGTGTGAAAGTAAAATTACGAAGTCCACAAAATGATCAAGATTACAATGAATAGGAGATCGTGGGGTAACAGCCACCTGGTATCTGTTGATATTTCCTGCACAAAGACTCAGCAGTTAGCTATGTACAAGAAGCTTGGAACCTTCAAAACGCTGTTTTCTAACAGTTCATGCACTTCACCTCCACAAAATAATTATTTGTCTCAAAGGTCAAGATCAACAGGTCAAGCTGGAAGATTTCGAAAATCATGGAGCTGCCATCGATTCCAAACAAGTGTTGAAGTGAGACATGTGATCGCTAGATCAACTCCCTGGTGCGTGTGGGCGGGACCGAGGCTTCCGTACACGACTTAAACTTTACTTGTACTTTTTGTGCAGTGGAAACTGCCAGAGCGCGCCCTCTGACACGGTTTGACTGTGCAGGGTGCACGTGCAGTGAACTCTCAGCTGATCATGTACACAGACGCAGAGCTAGCGCTACCAACCGCGTCCGGTGACCGTGCATTTGCGCTGTGCAAGGGCAGCGCAGTGCAGTGACGAAGATTTCGCCCTCACCTCGTTGAATGTGCGTCTCTTGCACATTCTTCCAGAACGGCAGAAGTGTGTACAAATGTGGCTTGGAAAGCTTTATAACTGGGGCCTTTTGCTATCGTTGGCAGTTACCATCTCTTGTGCGAAACGTTCTTGTAGTCGCGAAGACAAATTCTGTTCCGAAGCATCAGATACCATGGGTGTTCAGGAGTTTACCCAGTCTAAGATAAAGGAGGGACCTGTTGTGGTCTTCTCCAAGTCCTACTGCCCTTACTGCAAAGCAACGAAAGACCTCTTCAAGGGTCTCGGCGTCGACATCGTCTTGGTGGAACTTGACGAGCGTGACGATGGCGGAGAAATCCAGAACTGCCTCCAGTCAATCACCGGCGGACGATCGGTAAGTTACTTGCCGGTGAACCTCTCAGGAAAAAGCCTGTGGAATTTTATTTTATTTTAGGTTGCCTACTTTTATTTACAATGAATTTGAAAATTGAATTCAAAAGTTTGAGAATTGAGAAATATCATTAGTACGAGGTGAATAGCAATTTCTGGACATGAAAATAAAATAGAGGCCCACTGGCTGTGTGTTTTACATTTTTCATATCTTTTTGTATCTATTGTATGGCCTAATCCTTCATCTTTCCAAATATGTGACAATTGCTCATGCTGTGATCCCAGAGACTTTATAGCAGGTTGTTTTCGACAGGCCAATTTTTTGGCCTAAATTTCAGTGTATGGAATTCTGGACATGAAAGTAAAATAGCGTCAATAGGCATCCTATACTGCACCATTTTTGTTATTTTTTCTATTGGTGGACTGCAGTTGGCCTCTTCACACTTCCAGCCAACAGGTCCAAGACTATACAGCGTCTGAAGTGGAGTGCAGATGGGGAAGCCAACGATTCGTCCATTACTTCTTATTTTACTCAAAATTCAAAATCCTCATGCGACATAGTACCACAAAACTCGTTGAAATGCCTCCCAAGAAAAGGCTATAAACAAGGCACCGACACGAGGAGAAACTACAACAACCCAGCTCTCAACTACAACAAGAAAACACTTCATCAACCTGATTGACTTGACTCTACACGCGACGAAAAAATATTTTACTCGAAATGTCCAGAAATGTCCAATGTCCAGAAATAGCAATTCACCTCGTACCGCTACACGTACGTACAGTGTATCCCAAAAAAAATCCTACAAATCACTGATGTAACTTAGGGCACCTGGCCAGACTGTACTACGTGGCCAAGCACTCTTCTTGCCCACTTTCCCCATTGCACACGATGACAACCCCCCCCCCCCCCCCCGTTGTGATTTGTTGCTATTAATTTTTTCTGTCACTGGCTGTACATACCAGGGTGTCACTGTATTATTGGAAGTAAACTTTAACCTGTGTCAGAGCTTGAATATTGTGCGGAGTTATGTGTTATGCAGTTTACTGCTTTTTGAAGACAACCAACTGGAAGCGCGACACTGTATCCAGATCGGTCCTTGGCCAGAGACCTGTGTGCTGTTCTGTAGATGAAGAGCTGATGTCCTGTACAGTAACACCTCTGACTAACGACCATCCCTTGGCCACCCCTTGGGGCCGGAGAAAGCGGTCTTTAGTGGCAGGTGGTCCTTAGCTAGAGGTTTGCACCGCACAACCATTATTATGAATGTGAGACCGTCCGTGCCTGACGAAGTGGTCTGGTGTACCAGGCTGGTCGCTAGTCACGGTGGTCTTTAGTTACAGGTGTTTGCTATAGTAGCAGTGTACTGTAAATCAGAATCAATTTTTGGAAAGCGACAAACAGCATCAACGCATTTATTATTAACCGTATGACCAAGTCTTGCGTGTCCACTTTTGGCGTGATTTTCTTGTAGGTGCCCCGCGTGTTTGTCGGTGGCAAGTTTGTTGGCGGTAACGATGGGACACAGGCAGCACACAAGGACGGCAAGCTTGTGCCGATGATCAAGGAGGCCGGCGGTCTATGAAGGTCTCGGCAGGCTCGACTCTAGCGTAGCTGTTGGATTCGTGACGCCAGTGCGGATGCGTGCGTGTGTGTTGGGCTCTGATAGTTTTTATCGTCACGCCATCCGACATAGATGTATCCTTCCGTGCACTAGTTTTGTGCAGCATCCGCTTCCGTATGCCTTAGTGTTGCATTATGTCGACGAGCGGCAGTGCCTGCGATCCTTTGGACCCTAAGCGCTGTTCTGGTTTCTGATGCTGCTCCTGTGCTCAGTACGTTGCGATTGGTTTTTGCACGGCTTTGACACCAGTACAGTGTCGACACAGCTTTGGATGTTGTACTCCTTTTTTTAAGTTTCCATTTTTTGTTGTCAGATAGTTTCTGAATGTCCTGTGACATGCTACGTCATTTCTCAATCCACATCGGGCTTCTCCAAACTGCGTGTAGTTCATTGATTTCTCCCAACAATCATGCCTGGACTGGACTTAACATTTGCAACCTCTGAAAAGAAACTTTTCAAAGCGAAGGACTTCTTGCTTTGCTTTTGTTGCAGTTCTTTGGATCGGTGTGCTTGGTTCGGAGGGCGTGCATGATCGTTCCTGCATGTCCCTGTGTGTTGTGGGGAAGATATTGACCGGTCTGTTTGGTGTCAGTCTCCTTTCCGTGCATGTTGACTGCACGAGGAGTGTGGAATTTATTGTACTACTCACTGGATAATATTATGCATATCGTATACGCGTAGGCATGGCATAACCTTCTTTAATTCTTGTAGAGTCCTGCAAATGCAATGAGTGAAGCCCAGGGAGTGTCGGTCGTCGTTTATTTTGCATTTTGATTACTCGACCCTACTAGTACTACCCTTCAGTCTCGGCATACAATAGTACTGAGTAGTTGGTGTTGCTATTTTTGCGATTATAATATTATTGTTTACCTACAATATCCAAGATTTTGCAGCAAAATTCGAGCGTGCTATTTGCGCAGACCAGTGCAGAATGACTCTGGCCTTTTTAAATGTTGGCCTTGGCGCCGCGGACCTACAAACACAAGTCGAATAGCTGCAACACGTGCAAGCTCCGATCTATCTTCGGCGATTTGCCAAAAAAAGGGTTTACGTTTATCAGGACTACAAGTAACAGTTGTGTGGAGGGTTTGTAGCTACAAAAACCCTACGTACGTGGGCACTTGGGAAATAACTGCTGCTGTCGTGCTGAGCTTGATGCACTTGATTCCGAGACTAACCTGAGCAATTACTGGATCAGCTGCGAGCTAGCCGGTCATATCCTGGGAATATTCTGTGCCTTTGCGTTTGAGTTTGAGCGAGAATCACGCTGTGAGAACATACGTATATACCGGCTAAGTACCCAGGGTTCATTCAATTAGCTGCCGGCATGCCAAGCACTGGAATAATGATGAAGACAATGACTTAAAAATTATAGGCATTGCTACCTGCCCGTGTATTATAGACTACTGCCAGTACTGGTGCTTACCGTGGACGCAACTTTGCTCTCACGACGTGGAATTGGAGATCCCGTACGACCAGCGCGCGCGTCCAGATATTCAGGACATTTGAGTTCACCCGCCGGTCACGGTTTGCAAACTACCCAATTCGTCCTGGCACCATTCACATTCGAAGGATAACGTCAAAATAATAGGTAAGCGTTGCCGACAGTACTGTATACACTGCGTCACAGCATGTAGTTTGCACCAGGTTCCAGCATGGAACGAGTTTGATGCACGCATTCAAGGAGGGAATATTTGAAAATTTGAAATGGATCACTGCACAGGAGATAAAGCTAAAGGGGAATTAGGATTTCAGTGATTTTGTAGTCTGCTACTGGGCGCGAAGTCTAAATTAATGGTGTTGATCCGAGCACGCTGCGACACTTCGTATGTCCTATGGTACTCCGCACACACCCGGACTTTAGGTATCATGATTTGTGTTGTAACCCAGGCGCGTGCCCCGTATGGGTTCCTGGGTGCCCAGAACCCCCTTTTTTTCGCTCAAAATGCAGGATTTTGCTTCATTTTTTGAAATTTTTCACGGGGAGGCCCCGGAACCCCCCCCCCCTTGAAGGGCACCGGCGCACGCGCCTATAACCTGCAGTCACGTTTATCACGAACATTCCTATTGCATGGGCTTTCGCACGTATCGGATCCTCGAGGGTGGTGGCGTTTCTGCAGATGCGGAAAACTCAGTCTAATGGGCCGTTCGCACGGCGGTACGTGTACCTGCTCACGTTTGTGCACGCTACTACAGCTCTACGATCCACGGCATCATTGAACGCTTCCACACGATGACCTGCTCTGCGGGCGCACAACAGCCCTGAGGGTACCGGTAGTACCCCGAAACGATCCTGGAATGCGCCGGTTAAAATAGCATCTGGCTGTCTGAAGATTGAATATTATATTTCTGTGTGTGTATGTGTATGTGTGTGCGTATGTGTGTGTGGTGTGTGTATGTGGTGGATGTGTATGTGTGTGTCTGTGTGCGTGTGGGAGCTCGTGTGTTTGTGCGTCTCTGTGTGTTTATTAGGGGGGGGGGGGGGGGGGGCAGCGCCTATTGACAGCAAGGTCCTACTGGATCATCGCTGTTCGCCTAACACTTGTATGTCGTGTGTGATTGTGTTTGCAGTGTAGCATGTTGACCGACTACGGCATGAAAGTGCTGACTGGCACCGGCTTCAGCTTTGCCTTCTGGAGCAGCCTGTACGCCACTGCCAACTGGTTCAATCCCAAACGGAGTAGCGAGTGGAACTGTCGGATTGTCACTTTCATTCATGGAGTCGTATTAGTCATCTGTACAAGTTGGTCAGTGTTTGTCATTGGTCCAGTTCCGTACAGACAGGAAGCTCTTGGCTTGAAGACTAGCGCTCTGCAAGAGGTATGCTTGGTTTATGTTGTGGCGCATGTGTTGGCCATTCGGTTCATTGGAATGCCTGTGTGGATGATGCTAGGTGACTGTCCTGGGTGTGCTGCGGTGGCTGTTGTGGGTGCTGCTGTGGCTGTTGCTGCTGCTGTGGCTGTTGCTGCTGCTGTGGCTGCTGCTGTGGCTGCCACTCCTGCTGCTGCTCCTGTGGCTGTTGCTGCTGCTGCTGTCACTGCTGCTGTGCAAAGGTGGCTCTTATCTCTGCTGTCTCTATTCAAAACACAACAAGCAGTGACTGATGTTCTGGCTTGAAGTATTTTGCAAACAGTTCTATGTTCCGCTGTCTGTACAGGTGGAATCCTGATAATTCGAACCTCAAAATGCCAGGAAACAATTTCTAATTATCCGGACATTCTAATTATCTAAACATGAACCCACGACACAATATGTGTCAAAATGCTCTCGTGGTTACGCAGAGTTGCGCTATGGACCTTAGAAACAGATTTCGCGGATACTGAACTGACCGACACAGCCTGCTCATGCAAACTGAACTGACCAGTACAATGTACAGTGAACTTCGAATTACACTTTGCTAACTTCAAATTATCAGCACAAATCCCACACATTTTCTATGTAAGTGGAATATGTGGGACTTCGAATTAACCGGACATATCCAGTTCGAGGTTCGAATTATCAGAAATGTTTATGTGGGACCCGTATTGCTAGAAATCGGTCCTGGAAAAACTTCTAATTAAGCGGTATGTTCGAATTAAGCCATATTCGAATTATCAGGATTCCACCTGTATTGGGTTTCATCAACCCTTGAGGAAACCTTGTCTTGGCGGTCTTTGTATGGAGAAAGATTTGAAGTTTGCTGTGTTTGTTGTTCCAGAATTTGCTGATAATATCATTTGGATACTTTCTATTTGATCTGCTCTGGTGTCTGGTCATGCAAACGGAAGGACTCCTAATGCTAGTGCATCACCTCACGACTGTGGTCAGCATTGCTAGTATGCTGTTCATGTGAGTTGCCTCACGGTGTCTCTTTTGGTGTGTATGTTGTGCTTGTATGTGTGTGTGTGTGTGTGTGTGTGTGTGTGTGTGTGTGTGTGTGTGTGTGTGTGTGTGTGTGTGTGTGTGCATGTGTGTGTATGTGCATGTGTGTGTATGTGTGTGTGTGTGTGTGATGTGTGCTTTGTGTGTATATTATGTGTGTGTGCACGAGTGTGTGTGTGCGTATGTGTATGTGTGCATGTGTGTGTATGTGTCCCGTATGGTATTGGTATGTGCTGTCGATTTCCAATCGAGAGGGTGCGGGTTCAATTCCCGACGATTTTGGTCACACACGTCTTTCTTCTCTTTCTCATTCTCCTAGCTCTTCTTTCATTCTCCTGGGTGGTTAATGATAGCTTGCATAGACCTCGGTCCTACTGGTAGGACCTACCGGTAGGACCATCATACACAGACATGCTGCATGGCCTCTGTTCTAACATTGACCAAAAACTTGATTCTAAACTGTTGCTCAGGGGCTATTGAAGGAGTCCACAAATTTTAGACGTGATCGCACCAGGCATACTACGAAATTCCATGGTAACAGCCCATGGTAACCATGGAAACGGTGTATGGCATTATGCATTCTACTGCCTTGGCAGACTAATAAAAACATTAGTACATCACCACGATTGATGTGCCATGGTCAAAATTCACTTTGGACAGAGTTGCTAGCGCTCCGACAGGAGTATGTGCGGCCATTTTGATTATTGATAAAATTGCGCGTATCCAATGCACTGGACATAGCCTTGCATTTTGCGCCATTACTTTGCCTGACAAAGACCTCATCTCAACAATTGTTTCAAGAAATTTCTCAACCAAAAGCACTTTTGCAGCGCGATTTCTTGGGTCCTACCGGTAGGACGGCATGCAAGCTATCATTAACAACAGCTAGTGCATGCCGGAGTATGTGGTGGTGTGTGTGTGCGTGTGTGCGTGTGTGCGTGTGTCCAAGATATGAACTAAAAAGAAAGAGGGTGTTTGTGTCTTCAATAACCATGCAATGCAAGGACGATGTCATTATCGTTTTCTGACTTGAGTCAGAATGCTGGAATGCTGGTGCAGTGCTGCTCAGTGGAGTCTGGATGTCATTGAGCAGCATTGTAGCTGTGCAACACGAATGCAATAAGCCCATTGCGCAATGACATAGTCAAGTACGGCGAACACCTTACACGGCCACCTGGGCATGGTCGTGTGGGGTGTTGAACAGTGCATTGCAGATCCCAGTGTACTCACATGCATTACGCATACAATCCTTATTTGGCGATGCGCACTGGGCTTAGCGTATCCTATGGTCCTGTACCAGCAGGCTGCATGGATAGCAACACCAGCGTAATAAAGTAACAGCACTGCTGTGACTAATAGAATCATGGCTATGTACGCTATAGCTATGTAGGTTACGCGGCGCTTTCACTAATCCAAACAGCTGGAGAAAGACGTCCATGTTCGAACTAACTGAGAAACAAGCATGTTCAGAGAGGGGAAAAGGGGGGAGGGTAGGGTGACAGACACATTAGCTAGCGGTAGAGAAGCAGCACAGCTTTTTCATTTCATTTTATTTTTCTTCATTTCCTACTCTTCCTACCGGTTGTCATCGCTTTCATAATATTGGGCAGAACTACCCGTTTTGTGACATGCGATGTAAAATAAATAAACAACAACAACAGCAAAGACAGCGTCCTATCGCGGGACGTCCCGTCCTGCTGTGTTGCTGATGCCAGGGCCTGGAACGTGAATTTTAAAATAGTTTTAAAATGGCTTCATGTGTCCTCATCTTGAGTTGGTCCGACGCCGCGCATGGCCAGTATGCATACATCTGTGCAGGCCGAGGTCCACAGTGGCAATCGAGAATGGAAGCCAAATAAGGTGGTGAAGGTGATCATGTTCACCGATGGCTTTTCTGGAGACTTCACTACCAGCATAGTTGTAAATTAGTTTTTTCTTTTCCTTTTACTTGGTTCCATGAGCCGTCAAATGCAGCAGAGCAGGCCAAATATAGCGGGCAGTGGCGTATTGGATATAGTGGGGGCGAGGCAGGGGTAGCTCTACTGACCATAGGTCTCGGGTTCTTCACTACCTCTGTACATGCCAACTTGTTTTGCTCCTTGGCTCACGTTGCCATTCTGCATCCAGTTTCTCCGCCATGAATTTTGCACTTGAGATGATATACCACAATGGTATTTTTTGCACTCTGACACATGCACAATCCCCATACATTGTGCAAATATCCACTGCCCGAGCCATACTGCGATTGCTGCTTGTTGCTTTGGTGATGTAATTCAAACCCACACAGAGCCACCCCCACCCCTCCCCACTTTTCTTTGAACACGTCTACAGTCAACTTTGCGTATGACGACACTCGGCGGGGCATCAGAGAAGTGTCCTTATTGGCGAAGTGTCCTTATACCCGACGTCTCATTATATGTATTTCAGTGAAATGGGACTTTGCCCTGGGCATGGAAATTCTGTTGTTATTCGCGAATTTCCGTTATATCCGCAGTCACGAAGTTGACTATGGTATACTTTACCGTGCCCACTTCATTCTGATGATGGTTACAATGATCAAAACTCTGAAAACTTTCCCCTGAAATGACTTTATATGAAATTCAGCAGCCAGTGAGCTCAAACCAGCTTTACTTAAAACTTTGTTAACATCAGTGAAGCTGCTTGAAGCGTCATACACATTTCCAAACCCCTGCTTGGGGCGATGAAGGCAGCCTCGACAGATGTGGACAGGGTTGCTCATGATCGTCGTTGGTACACCATTTTTTTACAACACCCTCGTTAGCTCTCCTATTTATCGACAGAATCAACGGTAACGAACTGTGCCTTGGCACGTTGCTTCTCTCAAGGTGGAATTAAAATGCAGGGCGGTGCTTGACGAAAATACATTGTGTGCGAAATATGGCCACCGTGCGGTTATCTGTTCAATATGATTCAAAACTCTGCGTGCAATTATACTGCCTGCTGCAGTGCACTGTACCAAGATGCTGTTATGGCTCACGAGATGGTGCATACAAGCCGTGCCTCGTGTGCGTCAGAACAATCATGCCCGTGGCGATAAAAAAATAATAAAATTAATAACTCTAGAGCAGAATCCTGTGCACGGTCAGTGGTGTGTGCTCAGCCGTCAGTCCTAGAACGTTTATATAGTAGGATGTTTTCAGTGTGCATCGTACCTACATGTACATGTATGTGCAAGTTAGTTCAAGGGGTACATGTACATGTAACGTTGTGTACAGTAAACCGTGTGCAGCCTAGCAGCCGCAGTGAACAGAGACCACCTGTCTTGTGAGACCGGTCATAAGTTAGCAGGGCCCACACTGTGTGACATGTCAGCACGTATTCCGACCTGTGTAGCAAGACCACCTGTCATATGAGACCGGTCTTAAGTTAGCAGGAAGCACACTGACCTGTGTTGCAGGGCCACCTGTCTTATGAGACCGGTGGTTCTCTATGCATCATTGGCCCCCAGATGGTTGCTTAGCACAGGCTCAAAGACTACTGCACACTGCTGTGCGATACAAGGCCAAGAGAAGGAGAAAGAAGTGTACGTGTTTGAATGCTGCGGTTGAAGTAGGCTAGTGATGGGCCCTAGAGAGCACTCACTGCGTGGGGTGATAATCAGATGGACTTGGGCTGTCCTGGTGGTTGCGCCGCGCATGCGCTCAGTCGTTTCCCCGACAGACTCCTGCCGGCTTGCGGCTGGAAAAGATTGACTTCGACGAGATCGTAATCATCGTCCGTGCTCGTGCTTGGTTCTTGCCCTGCACCGCGTACAGCTCCGACTATATTGCTGTAGGGCGGAAGATTGGCGTTCCGTTGCCCGGGAACGGGCGAGGACGGGTCGAAGTGGCACGTGCAGCGGCCCGCGACTCTCATGGATGCCGTGGCGGTGAACGGCGGCTGAGACACCAGCGGATTTCCGGTCTCCGCAGCGCACGCCTCCACCTGCATCTGCGTGCAGATGTAGCAGAACGGCTTCTGCCGAATGGCGCCGCACACGATTCTGCTGAGCGCGTCCTTTGGCTCTTTGTAATCGCCGTCCAGTAGCGTCTCCTGGCTGCCGAATCTCTCCTCGGCGGTGAGATGGTCGAGGCACAGGTTGCCTTGCTGCACGCCAGCCCGTATGACGTCGGCTGGCAGCTGATACGGCGGTGGCTCGCCGTGCGTCACCGTGTTGTATGGGTGTCCGCACGCCTGCACCTCACCCAGTCGATTGTATGTTTGCTCGGGTATCTGGGCTGCTGCTGCTGTAGCAGCGTGTGCCGCGCCAGGCAGCTGCTGCTGTTCCGACGTGTCGTGCTGCAGGATGTTGTAGCTGTGCATTCGTTTGCTGAGCCTGCGCTGTGCCGAGGCCGCCTCGTCGTCGAGTACGTCCTCGTAGGCGATGATCTCTTGCGGAGATGCTGGCTGCGGCGGTAGCTGGCTGGACGGGGAGAGGAGCTGTATTCGTGATGGAGCGCCACTGACCATGCGTCCCAGCGGTTTGGGCTTGGTCTTAGGCGCCATCTGCTGGCTGTTGGTACTCGTGTCGCTACCACGCCGACGCGGATCCACGGCGCGCTTGTCCGGTTTGTGCGCGGTCGCGTAGAGGTTGGACGAGACCGATGGTGCCGGCTGCCCTCCCTGGTTCAGCGGGTTGGAGTAGAAGCAGCCGACTTTGCACTCGCCGGTGCTTTGTTTCTCGCCACTCGCCTTGACCTCCGCTTCGGCTGCGCCTTCCATGGTATTGTTCTGAATGCTTACTCTCTATTGAGAAACACAGGAGTAGCAGCAGCAACAGCAGCAGCACCATTTTTAAATTAGCTTCGGCTCGATGTTATTAATTTTGGTGTATGATAACTGATAAGGGGCCGTCCGTAAATATCGAACTTTTTTCACCAAACGAATTATTTTAGTTTAGACCAACCCCTCCCTCCCTCCCCCTCCCAATGTGTAAAAAAATGTTGACATACATGCATACACAACAGCCATGTACATGAATCAATGTTTTCTTAAACGAAATTGGTCAACCCCCTCCCACCCCATAAAGAAATTATTTCGTTTTGTGAAAAAAAAGTTCGATATTTTATGGACCCTAAGGAGCTTCGTTGCTTTTGGTCCCGTCCTCGAGCAGGTCTTCATGCAGTTGTATTCTAAATTCGACCATACCCTACTCCATTCTGTACGCTATTTGTTCCCATAACGTGTACCATGTACCGTACTCGCGTGATTAGATCCCTCTCCTGGGTAGCGCCCTGTCTCGAATAGTGCTTCTGTCTCCGAGAGCCAGTCGAAAATACAGCCCTCTCTTGAATAGTGAGTGCCCCCCCCCCCCCCCCCCCCCCCCCCCGTACCTCGGGTACTAAGGACACCTTCCTGCTGCCCATGAGGGTAGGTCTTATCAGGGTTCTACTGTTTCTTGGTTAGTGTCAACATAATTGCACGACAGTGGCCAACTATAGAGCACCTACCGCTATTCTCTTCTCCTCCTTGCGGTCCTGCCCATGCCTTCGTCTGCAGCAAAGACAACAAAGACAGTGCATTGTTTGTTGATTGAAGGAGACACACAAGTTACTGCTTATTCTGTGGTATCACTCTTTGCAAGCCAAGGGGCAACTTCGCTTTGGTATAGTTAGACTAGATGTGCATGCAGCTGAGGATTTCAGTGCGTGGAACATTGCACTTCTTTCTACACTCCTGATCACAACAACCACCAACCCAATAACTGTTATCTGCAAAGGTGGCTCCTTCTTCAAACAACTCACCGTCTCTGGTACAAGCACAGCAGCAGCACAATAGTCAGCAAGGCCAGGCCGATGGCGATGGCTCCGCCGATCACAGCCGGCTTTGCAAACAGCGACCGAATGGCGTCGGTTGATGACGGCTGTTCCGGCGGCGGCGGTGGTGGCGAGGGACGCTGCGGTCTGGCTGGTTGGCCTCGGGGACTTGGGGATGATTGGCTCGGTGGCTGCGCTGCGGTTGGCCCGTGGGCTGGGGTTGTGTTCACGTGCCGATCTTCGCTGGTGACCTGCACCTCGGAGGGATCTTGACTTGCTGGTGTCCCACTGGATGTTCCACGTGTTGCCGGGTAGGTTGTTTGCTCTGGAGCAGGTCTTGCATTCGTTATCGAGCGCTGAATAAGGGATGCCATTGTTGTGGTAGCTGCTGCACATACATACACATACGCACACACACACACACACACACACACACATACACACACATACACACACAAACACACATACACACACATACACACACACACACACACACACACACACACACACACACACACACAAGCGCAACACACATAGACGCACAAACGCACACCATTGGTGTTTTGCTCTCGTGGATCAGCGTTTGCCGACACGGGGGAAGTGAAATGTCGCCAACACAATACTGCAAGAAGACTACAACCAATATTTTGGACAGCGGCACTAACATAATAGAACTGCCAAGCCCAGTCCCGCTTGTCAGCAAAGCACACCCCACACACACGCGCACGCGCGCACACACACACACACGCGCGCGCGCGCAAACACACGCACTTACGTGGTGATATCGGAGGAGCTGGAAGTGGCGGTGGCGTCGGGCATGACTGCTCGCTGCACGGAACAGTCTCACTGGCCGCGCCACCATTGCAGCTTCCTCCGTTCTGCGGCGGCGGCGAGTTGCATTGCCTCGATCGTAGCTGCTGTCCACCACCGCATGATGCAGAGCAGGTCCCATCGTCTGTCCACTGTGACCAGCCTCCATCAACTGGACAGTATTACACCATTACAACTATAAGGTTAATGTTGCTTGTTTTCTTTTATCATTTTTTGCGAACTTTCTTCGCCATTTTTGTAAGAGCCAGACCATAGGAGAGAAGGAATCGGTGCCTGTTCATTTGATGAAGTAATACAAAATACTACTACGACTAATCATCTACGTGGAGAGAACAATTTAAATAATGCTATGAATAAAATAATCTGCGCACTCATACTTCGAACATACAAGGCAAGGTAGGTAGGTCTAAAGGTTTCCAAGACCTTTTTCTTTAGACCTACCTACCTTGCCTTGTGTGTTTGAAGTATGAGTGCGCAGATTATTTTTATTCATAGCACTACGACTACTATCATGAAATGTGTACCAATATCAGAGCAAGCCATTCAGCATCAGCACATCTGTGGAACCAGCATACTGCTGTTCCAATTCAACGCGGAAATGCTCATGACTATAATAATAACAGCGATATCAGACATTCCACTAAAAGAAGGACAAATGACGGGGCAAAGTTCCGTGCATGGAAGGTGTCTTATATTTTCGAGGCAGTGGAAATGTCTGAAGACGACCTTTTCATCGTTTTACTTCGAAGTACAAACTGCCACATGTGTGCGATTGTGAATGTATAAATCTTGTGTGTACACCTGCATCAGATATTCTATTTTCTGAAAGGCTAAGCCAAACCTCCGGCCGAGGGAGTGGAAATGTGTGACGCAGTCCAGTTTTCACCGTTTTACAAGCAGCTGATCGTGAATGTATACATTTTGTGTGTACACCTTTGTGTATTTGCTAAAAAAAAACTAAGCTGAAACTCCGGCCTGTATCATCTATTAATTAATATGCTTATCAAGACCACAGCTCACGTGCAGAGACGCAAACTTGCATAACAGGAGCCTAGCAATGTTTAACTTGTAGGTGTGCTATGTATATCTATGGGTGTTTCTGGGCCTATTCCTGCCAGCGTATACTACAGTGATGCCAACTGAAATCCAACCCTGATTTTCGTGCTCAAATGCAGCACCGATAAAAAAAACGGCGATAATTCTAGCGGCCTCTGTTTGGTAGCGTTACAATCCCGTTCTGCCGGGTCTTTGCAATGTGAGCGCATCGCTCCAGGGGTCGAATTTCAGTTGCCAGCGCATAAGTGTACATGTGCCCTACTACAGTAAAACCTGGTGCAAGCGACCTCTCGTTTTAGCGACCACCTGCTCTTAACGACCGTTTTTCCATGCACACACGGACAGTTCAACACAGACATTGTGGGACCTGGTTCTAAAGACCACCTGGCTTTAACGCCCGCTTTTCCTTGCACCGTGGGGTGGTCACTTAAACCAGGTTTTTACTGTGCTTACTTGCGCAGCACGTCGATGAGAACTCAACGTTGTCCACCCGGACGATGCCATCCTCCTGAGCTGGTCCTCGCCGCTGACCCTCAAATACTACCTGAGCAGCGACGAAAAAGGAAAGAAAATGAACCGCTGGCCTCAAGCCAGGGTCCCTGGTTCGAGTCCTGGTGGTGACAGTCAATTTTTCCTTCAGACTTTTCCCCTTTCCGTTCCCTTAAAACTAGTGAATATATATGAAAGAGAAAATGAACTCGAATTAACACCTGGTGGTGATCAGCAAGTTGAAGCATGTGTTGCTATCTATACGTGGACATGTGGATCAGGAAGTCGTTCTTGGATTTGGTCACGGAAAGGCATACGTAATGGTCACAGAGCGTAAAGTATGATGGCGTTGAGTTGTGCACTGTTTATGTAACACATGCACTGTCAGGAGGTGACGGGAAACGTACATTGCAAAATAGCACCCCCCTCCCCGAAAATTTGGCTGGGACATTGGGGAGAAGCCCCTCCCCCTCCGGTTGGTGGGCACAATGTGAAGAAGCAAAGCATGTTCTTGTGTACTGTAGAACATGTAATTTTAGGTGTAAAATAGAAGAAAAACACATGGTCCGAGTTAAATTTTAGGTGTACATGTATTAAAATTTCAGTATCAGGAACCTGCCAGGTTTCAGGGGTGACGTAGAATTGGGTGACCAGCATTCCCTTCGCCTGGTACCTACAGTGCATACTCTGGTACCTTTTAGGCGTAATCTAAATTCATGTGCTTGCTTTCACTACCTATTACACCGAAAATAATTATCGTGTTTTACAGTATAATCTTGCCTGGAATGAGCCCGTGAAGTTGATAGTAATGCTCTGGGTCACCCATCTGCTGGTAGTTTCCGTCGATGCCCAGAGCTCCGTCAGACCGCCACTGTTGAAGCCAGCCAGCAAGTAGCGGTGCACGACGAGGCGACTGGCGCTGCCGATGGCCTGGTAGTCGAACGTCATGCTGCACGGCCGGCCGGTGAGCTCATTTCGGATCGGCGACGCCAGGTAGCCGCGGCGCGTGCTGAAGCAGAACAGGCTCTCGCACGACGGGTAGCGTAGCTCGGCCACATCTTAGCAGTATCAAGGGGAAAGCGGAGAGTAACGTTAGGGGCCATTCGGCATTATCGGTAATTTTCACGAAACGAAAAGGTATATTTAGGACCCTCCCCCACCCACCCATCCCCTGAACGAAAAATAGATTGACTTGACAGGTAGAATGCATTGATGTCTCGTATATCAATAATTTTCAGAACGAAACTCTCCTTGGCCCACTCACCCATAAAGGAAACTTTTTCTCTTCGTGTAAAAGATCGATAATTATGGACGGCCCCTTAGTTGCTCCATGATGGCGCTATCTCACGCTTACAAGTTACAAGTAAGGTGGAAGAGAATTTTAGTGCGACTCAGAGTTTCAAGCTTGCGCGATCATCGTAATGGTGCTGATGATGGTGGTGGAGCTATCTCATGCATTTTTGATCCAAGCTAGACTGCCAGAGCTTGGTGCCAGCATTCTTTGCCTTGCGTGATGAGAAAGATGCTAGTTGTCCTTGTGTGAGATGTGCGACGGGCGCTTGCCCAGTGGCCGTAGCACAGCTGTCTGTGCCGCCTTGGTCACAGCTCTAGTGTTATAGTGTAGATGCCGGCCAGCGTGCAGTTCAGTGCAGCCCTTTCTACCTTCTACGTGTGTGTCTGTGTGTGTATGTGTGTGTGTGTGTCTGTGTGTGTCTGTGTGTGAAAAATGAAAAATAGGGATTCACTGGCCAGAAAAAGCTGCTTCAATCAGCCGTGTGGTGTGGACCAGGCTAAAATTAGTGGCGTCCATTCATCAGCCTTGCAAGCTGTTTAACGGTGTAATCCCAGCACAAGTCGCTGTGTCTAACATAGCTGTTCGCTATCATTGCTTCCGCGATGGGCAGGTCTGTCTGATGTCTGAGGCGATCTCACTATACGGCTTCTGTACTTCATTGCGGCCGGTTACTGTAAATCAGAGATTTCGTAATGTTTTACTCTCGTAATTCTTTGAAACCGCCTGTTTTTTTCCATTATTAAACTTTGTAAATTGTGAAGATTCTGCTTGTGCAAGCTGTCTTATACACTCTTTCCAAGGGTTTTATTCTGTTCTCTTTATTATATGTGAGTTAACAGTATGCCATCACCATGGATACCACCACTGTACCTTTCTCCTCCCTCCAGTCGTAGTCGTCCTCCTGGCTGTTCTGATAGTCGCCCAGGTTCTTTTGGAATCTTTGTCGATTGGGAACAGCACACTCTCCTAACGCATGTCGTATTACAGAGAAACGCACAACAGAGAGCATGATTTGTCATGGTTTTTCACTGGGAATGGGCAGAGGCCCAAACACTTTTTGATCTTTTTTTCTTGATGCGTATGGTGTGCTATGATGCCGAGACACCTGTCGGCTGAGCACTTCGTACCCCATCACCACTCCTATATCTACATGTATAGGCCCCTCCATGTCATCTGTATCGTCTTCCTTACGATTTGTTGGGTTGTGGAATTAGTAAAAAATAAATTTAAAAAAACAAAAAAAACGTGCAGGGGATAACACAATCAACCTTGCCCACAAATTGAGCGTATGTTCTAAATGAATGCAAAACAATGAAACGAAACCAATGAGCAAACTTCAGGAATCGGGAAAAAGAGAGCATGATCGTTATTGAAAATCGTCTTCTGGGCCCTGGCCATTGAGATACTAGTATGTTGGAGTGAGGTATCAAGTCATTGACTGTCTCAGTTTGGCGCCTAGCTGTTGTACTTTTCGGACTGTATAATATCACCTACTTACTATACCGTTCGTACAGGTTGAGGGAGTTCGAAGTGGGAAAAATCTGAGCAAAATAATGGACTGTCACCACCAGGACTCGAACCAGGGACCCTCCCTTGTGGTCAGCACACATGCTGTAACTATAATTATTATAGTTACAGCATCCCTTCTCCTCCTTATGATAATGAGCAGCAGACTAAGACTTAGTACCTAAGAGTACTGTCACCGTGTAATTATTTTCACTATCCTGCAATATGCTAAACCAGTCCACCAGATCAATCACCAGTCATTTGGCGTTTCAGAAATGCAGTACCTCGGTTATACAGACATTTCTGGTCTCTCCAGGTGACCTCAAGACAAGTGGCTCAAGCCGAGTCAAGGCTGAGGAGTCGATACTGAATACAGGGTACGGAGCATACATGTACATGACATGTACTGTTTTACGGAAAGATCCACCGTGATGGTGATGAACTGCGAGAACTAGTTACTTGTGTTAGTTTACCATCAAAGCTCGCGTCCACTGACGCTACTTCAGAGTCCCATAATTTCTGCGTAGACACAGTGCTTTTTACGATGGTCTCTTACCTGTCATGCGTTTCCCGATGTGGTGCTCTCCCGTGCCTGTCCTGACGACTTGTCTTTGCGGTTCGTGTTCGGCTAGGAATACTGTTGCATGGCTGGTTGCTGCCGTTAGAACCAACCCGAACACGAGCTGAGAAACCAGGGCGACTGCTTCGAATGCTCCCATGGCGTATACACGCGATCTGCCTGCTTCGGGTCTGGCCCCCACTTTCTCCCCTCTCCGGCAACCGCCTTTTCTCTTTCGTCTTGGTGAAAGGGGGAGCGAAGGGAATAACGTCCGAACTTCTCTTGTCTTCCGAACCCAACGCAACGGAACGTGTCAAGTTTAAAAGTTCTCTGTTGCGTTGCCCAACGCTTTGCTCGTAATCATCGCGGATGATTTCGATGCAAGTCATTACTGTTACCCATCGTGGTGCTGCAGCGTGTTTGGGCATCACTGGCCGCTGCCAATTTCAGGACTGGAGCGCGTGAGTGTGGGTCGTCAGCACGCGATGGCAACGGCACCTGCTGGTCTTGATGATTTCAGTGTGCCGCCTACTTGATCTGACATTACCATGATCTCGAGAAGGCCGTGGCTGAATGGATGCGTCCCGCTGCACGACAACCACGGTATTGCTAGATACGCTCGTGTTGTAAAATCTTGAATCCGACATCGCTGTCCGAGCGCATTTGCCACAGAAGTGGCTACGGAGGACGGCCCACATCCGCATCCTCCCTCCATTTGAGTTGCACATATTTGATGTAGCAGGTATTCAGCAATCTCTCCAGAATGATGAAGTGGCTTCGCCTGTCGTTCTGCCTGAGTTACGACAAGTTGGTTCCGGGTTCCACGTCGAATTTGTGCTGTTTCATGTTTTTTTTAGTCTGACTTGGGGCAGCCCTGCAAGCTAGCGAGTGGTGACTGTTTCGAGGCCTTTTGCCTTTGGCTTTGTCGCTTCGAGTATCGTTGACGGTTCGGACGACGTAAGGAACAACTGCATGCATTTGTTAGACTTCTTCATGCATCTACGGAGCGTCTCCTATTGCCTATCATTGCGTATTGTTTTCTCCGGCATTCTGATGCCCAGGACATGCCAGCGCCGGGATGTGAAGAGCCAGCCCGGCGCACCAAGGTGCGACTGTGTGTTTTGCTGCGTCTGTCTACTATACCTTTGGCTTTGTTGTAGCAAGGTCGTGCATGATCAAATCGGCACAACCGACAGATAGACGTAGTTTAGTTATCTTCACACTTTCCATTACATGATCCTCTTGCTCAGCAATGCTAAACTACAAGACTTAGTGATTATCTACTATAAATTATGGCTTCGTCGATCTACATTGTACACGCAATACTTGCAGTTACTATGCCTCCTGGATCCCCCCTGGGGAGGCAGAGATCATCTGCTCCTGTTTTTGATAATGGGATTTGCCTCATTGCCACGCGGCCAGGAGTGCAATCATGTACTGTTGGAACCTGGAGGCGGTTCAGGAACTGAGGAATGGATTGTTGGTGACAACAGTCGCATTATCGATCCGAGAGACTGAGATGAGAGCTTCGCTTGTTATTGTTGCAGCTGCTGCTGTTGGCTTGGCATGTTTGTGTTTAGGATTCTGTGGACTTTTGTATTTAGCCAGAGATTTCCCAGTGGTGAAGTTCTCCTGGTACATGTAGCATAATAAGTATGCTGCTAAGGCCTATAATAATAATGTATTGACTATTGTACACAAACTACGGCTGTACATCGTACTCATTCTAGACTACGCGGACAGAACTGTCTCGTCCTTTGTCACATTTGTGGACTGTCTTCGTATGACTGACTTTGTGGACTGCCTGTATGCATGGTATATCTGTATACTGTATTCGCTCTGTGTTTACCCGTGGAGGGCTACGTCCCTGTATCTGTTCGTTGGCCGGCTGTACTAATGCGCTTTGCCTCCAGCTATTTCCGTTTCGACATGATCCCTGTCAACCTTACTTGGAGTTTTGTCAACGGGCAGAGTTGGCGGCCAACGGGCTAAACCTGGAGCAAAGCGCACAGCATCGTGGTAGTTATTTTTTGCAAGTCCGGGTCCAGATTTGGAACAGTTCCCTTTTCTACATGATCTTAATTATTTATATATTATTTTCTACATGAATTTTGTCATCACCCTTTCTTGGCCATGTTCATTTTGGTCATGATGGACGACGGCCCGGAGTCTGAATTCTTTTCGTGGAATCCGGAGTGACCAGCTGACTGTATCGACCAAGTGTACAATTATGTAGTTCGAATCGAGCTAGGAACACACGCGACGCGTTGCATCAGCAGTCCTCTGCCCGGTCTGTGGCGTCATTTTCGGCAAACTGCGCGCTGGCAACGGCAACACGGAGCGGCACTCACGACTATTGTGTGTTTTCCCGGCGTGTCGAGTTTGATTGGCATTTCACCAAGACTCAAGAGAGCGTCTCTCTCGTCTGGCTGGGGTGGTGAAGTGGACCTGGAACTTGCCAAGCACTGCGAATCCGAGTATGTACACTTGTACTTTGTAGCGATGTCGAAGCCCTAGCGCAGTAGCGGCCTTGCACGCACGTGGAGGCTGTAATCTTTCGAAATTTCGCAGTGCGTGGGAACTTAGAATTTAGTGCTCACTGCGGTTTGCGGGGAACCAGTTAGTTAGTTGTCCGCTTGTTTGGCATCTATAGTATGCAGTCTAGCCTCCTAGCGCTACTGAACGGGCCCTGTTGTGTAGGCGTTGTGACCATCCACCAGTGTAGAAAATGCACTACGGTGGATCTACCTGCGCCGACGCGGAGTGCACCGGACTACGGTGCGAGTGCACTCTATAGACTGAGTCTCGCAGTCTCTCTTTCTTTGATATGATTTTTTGGGTTTGGTTCATGGTAGATCCTCTACACGCACCACGCTGTGTTCCACGGGTCAAGTACAGTACTACATGCAGGCCACGTCAAGATATTACCGGCTTTCCTTTTGTTTTGCGCCCTCGTATTAAATCAGTTTTGTTTGTTTGTGTTGGCTTGATCAGCTCAGAGCCTAGCCTGTGAAAGCAAACGTACAAAGTGCAGCGCATCCAAGAATGCACTGTGTGTTCGAGTTTCACACAGCGTCTGATCGCGCATTATCTATAGTGTAGTTTGTTTTGGGTTTTTTTAAGGCTTTCGCCTATCGAGGGGGGTTCCAGACTTTCCATAACAAGCTGTATAAGAAGTGATGGACCAACGGGGAATTTGGCTCCGCACCAGTTCCAAGGGAATTCCTATTTTTGAGTAATTACTTGACCTCACGAGTCACGGTGATTATCTGCTAGCGTGACAGCTACAGCGGTAACACACAGGGAAACAGATCACTCGTTGGGTAAATGCACCCGAACATAAACACTGACTGTGGCGCTGGGATGAAACATAACTGTACAGATCTATCTCATGCGAAAGAGGAAATGTTACATACATGTGCTTGACATTCGAGGAAACGAAGATACGTCATGTAGATTTTTACTGTCATAATTATTGCTGTAGCTGGACGTATGGACATGCACTAGTACAGTGCGCCGCCCAGGCCAGGGGGTCGGAATTCAGTTGCCAGCACTGTAGTATTAGGTATTTCAGCTAAGAAATCGGGGTTGACAGACAAGTGGTTGAAAACTCACCCGGAGTTGACTTTCAACCCGGCGGCACCTAGCTGGAGGGGGAAATCCCTGACTGGACTGCAGGCAAGACATAGTTTTTAAATATTATTACTTCATAGTACATGTAATAAGATTATTATTTCGTTTGGCTCGCTCAAACATGAGCTACCCTGACGGGCATGAGTGCATTTTGCCACCTTTTCATGCTCGTGTCCATGTCCCTCCTGGTCTTTTCAAGAAGGGCCGAGTTTCTGCCACGCGGTTGAAAACTCTAGCAAAAGTCAGAACAGCCGTTTTGCTTTATTCTTGGCGGTTTTCCTTTCTACCATTGCTGTGAATGTTTGATAAATGAATGTCAATATCCGAACTGACCTGCATATTTGTACGTGTTTGTGTTTGTGTTCGACATCTTCTGTCTTCTGCAACAGTGGGGTTTCTGGTGCTGAGGGTACGGCCACGCTCCTCGGCACGGAGATATCCAACCCTTGCCTGCAGGCACGCTGGTTCCTGAAGCAGACCGCGTCCTACGAGTCGACGCTCGGCACGTACGTCGACCTGACGTTCGTGCTGCTTTTCGTCGTCGTTCGTATCGGCGTCGGCGGTTGGCTGTTCGTAGTAACCATGGCGTCGCCGAAAGTGCTTCTAGCCGTAAAGCTCGGAGGCGTGGTGTTGTACGGCATCAGTTTGCTCTTCCTTGGGCAGATCCTTCAGTTCGCGTACCGCAAGTTCTATGGCATCAAGCGGCCCGTCCCGGAGCACGGCAAGGCAGGGATCGCGGTGAACGGCAACGGAGTGACGAAACACAAGAAGTCCTAACTTGTGCACTGATTGGCTGTGGACGACTTCAAAATTTCTAGGGATATGTGAACATTTTTTTAAAAGTTTCTTAGTTATTTTCGCTGTAAATTTCTCTAGTGATCTGTCTAGTGATCTGTCTAGTGATTTGTGTAGTGATCTGCTAATCCGTCTAGTGACCTGCTAAATCAGTATAGCGAGCTGGCGAGACCCCTATTGAGGCACTTGGTTCCTTTTTAGTTTTGATTTTAAATGTTCTACTCTCGGACTATCTCGAACCGGAATTACCAGACGTACTGTTATTTTTTTGCCATGTCTTCAACGCAGCATTTTTTATGAAGATTGGAGAGCAAATAACAGTTACTGTACCTGTATGAACGTTTTTATTACCTCTACCATGGATATCAAATGGCTACGCAACAGTCACTAATACTTACTTTGTCTCCTGGCGGAGGCTGCCCATGACACGTGACTGCTTGTCGACCACCTCAGTTATTTTGTTTACTGTTCGACCCTCTTTGAAGTTGTACATTGTACTGTTGAGGCAACGAACAAAAGTAAATATTATGAAACCAAACAAAAACAAACAAAAACCCACACTCCACAGTGCCCCGCGGCCGCGCGGTGGTGGGCTGGTGTTGGCGAGTCAGTGTGGGGAGTGAGTGCCCAGGGCCCTCTTTACTTGCACGTGACTACAAGTCAATTATTCCCTTTCCTTACCCATTGTGCAAGCTCAAGCTGGATACAGATCTATTTCATTCCTCGGTGCTGACCGCTTTAATTAATGCGCTTCCCGAATCCCTTCGCACAAATCATATCCCCAATTCATTTCGCCAGGAACTCAATTTCATTCATCTTGGGCACCCTGTAAGAAGACCTTAGGGTCTGTTGGGAATGCCCAAGTAAAATTATAAAATACAATACAAAGCACTACTACGTAGTGGTGCAGTGATCGTGCGATGTCCATGCGCGATATGCATGTGTTACATTTACATTACGCAAACAGGCCTACCGTATTATCCCCAATAAAATTTAACTTAATGTCAGGTCGTCGAATGTCTCTAAAATATCCTAGTCAGCTTTGTGCCTTGTCGCACTATCTGATTGTATTATTATCTCACAGAGGCAGTAGGTAAAAATAGCCTGTCCCTGCATACATTCACGCGATTACCCCTCCCGCTATCATAATTATTATCACACCCCTCTCCACTTAGATATACGAGCGCTGCCTCCTATTCCACTATCGTAGTCTGATGATTGGTTCAGCCATGAAACTCTGAGTCACAACGGAATTTGCCTATTACGTACGTCGTGTGAAACCACTTTTTATTGTGTGCAGTAAGCCGCTGAATTGTGAGTCACGCCCTGTCGTGCCCGTTTGGTGGCTTCCCGACGCCGCGACATAACGAGGTAAGGGACATCACCGCCAGAGCTCTGAGGCAGGTCGCTCATAACGTGACGGTGGAACCCCACCTCCAGCCCGTCACCGTTCCTTATGTATGCCTGAAATAGGTTGTGTTTCGTCAGATTTTGACATGTTCCTTTCTTCTCAGTATTCTCGCTCGCATAGGACTCCACTTCTATGATAATATTGCCTATGCTGTTGCTCATTAGGATTTTGGCAAATTCTATCCTTCGCTTTCATATAACTGGGCCAGGAACCCGTTTGAACTTGCGAAGTAAAAATAATCAATCAATCAATCGAAATCAATCACCGGAGGGGCCTTCCGCCATCGCACAGCTGTCACGGAGGAGCAGGCTCGGCTGGACGTTGCGGCTAGTGGTGTGTGGGGTGGCCGATCCGAGCGCATCTTTATTGATGTACGGGTGTTCAACCCTTTTGCGTCTTCGAATCGTGCCACCTCCCTCGCTGCTAGCTACAGACGCCATGAACAGGAAAAGCGTCGGAAGTACGAAGAGCGAGTACGCGAAGTTGAGCATGCCTCCTTCGTGCCCGTTGTGCTTTCTGCCTCTGGTGGCTATGGCAAGCATGCCAATGCTCTTTTCTCGCGGATCGCCTCTCTCCTGGCTGAGAAGAGCAAGGAGCAATACGCGCAGATTATCTCCTTGCTGCGCTGCCGCCTTGGGTTTGTCCTAGTTCGCTGTGGTGGCATGTGCCTGCGTGGCTGAAGGAGCATGTTTGCTCCTGCCGTGCCTGAGTCCCCTGCAGTGCTAGTGGTGGCCGAGGCACGCATCCAGTGAACTTACAGTGATCCTACTGAGTCTGTATAATCATTACTATATCCGATGCTTCGTTTTATGGTGTTGATGCTTCACAAATGTGTTATTTTGCCCGTACAAGAGGCTCAAGGAGTTCATTCATAAAAAACCTTTCTATTGTGCCAAACTAATACTTGTCCATCATCGTTACAATATTGACTTTCGATATGTGACATTTCGTCTTCGCTTGGCTTCCCCTCTTTATGTATTTTTAGTAATTTTTACATACCTTTGAGCCTCCCAAGTTGGGTGGTCTATTGCCTTGTATTTTCGAGTTGTAGTTAGACCGGTTTGTCCAATGGTCTTACTAGTCTCGATGTCATCGAAGCGAAGCAGCACTTCAGGAAGGCTAGTCGTGCTGAAATAGCGTGAGAATTGCTGACAATTAATTAGTGACATCATTGAATGTTATACTATGTACTGTGTACAGTTGTCAAAAACTTGATAGTCCGGAAATGGTTCGATCATTCCGGCAGGGCATTGCGAAATGGGAGAGAGATCATTAGCACAATAGCAGATAATGCTGTGGGGAAATGTCTATTCTGGTTTTAAATGAATACTGTTTGCGTTCTAGAATATAAAGTTCAGTATGCGTGATGCCTTGTTCAGTTGGTAACTATCTTGCAAATTTAACCTTCGCTCCATTGACAATCTGTAGCCTAGTGTAGGTTTAATACAGTCATGCAGAGTGCAGGGCAAGGAGTGCCCGAAAGTCTGGATATGCTTATACAACCCTTTTACCACTGAAGTATTTCATACATTGATAAAATTACTCTGGACAAAAACCGGTTCGAAAAGGCACAAATCTACAGGTAAATTGACGGTCCAAACGTATAAACAGTTGTTTGCATACAGTTATCAATAAGAATTCCCTAGTAAAAGAAGAATAAATAATAATCATAATAAAATAATATCAGGTGATCTGTATGGCTGTTGAACTACAGGTGTGTTGGTGCAGAGTTTCCACTGTAACTTAGTGTAAGTAGTCATAGTTATGGCAATTATGGATATAAGTAAAACCTACTCCGCTTCCCAGAAAAATGCCTCGCGAGCATAGCCTAGCCGCCTCCCCAGTGAACAATCTAGAATACTTGCATGGAATCTCTCGCGAAACCGACGGACAGGTGAGACGCGTCTACGCGTCGCGCTTGAAATCCAGCCGCGAGAATCCCAGGCGGATGGTTGTTCGGTTGTTGAACGTCCCCAGGCTGTTCAGCTGGTCATAAACGCTCTTCCATTTCGGGTACTGCGGGTACATGCCGTGCACCAGGTCGTGACTCCCGGTCAGCTGACTAAACTCCAGGCCCCAGTGAGGTCGCCCGCCTAGGTGATACAGCGCCCGCTGCTGCCGGTTGAGTATCTCGATGCCGGCATAGGTGCCCGTGATCATGTCCAGCTCGATCATACTGGTGTTAGTTCCGTTCATCATGGACAGGAACGCCGGGGACTTCTTGACGAAGCGCACGGCGAACGGCGACGTCTGGTACTGCTCCCCCTGGAGACGCGCCGTCTGCGCGACACGGTGGATGCTGTCGATTGCCTTGGTAACGTGCTGCGCTGTGAACCTTTGGCGGCAGTTTTGCTCCGATGATTCCACTGGGAAGCCGATCTCATTGGCGAATCCAGCGTCGCCGTTCACGCCCAAGTTGAAGATCTTGTAGGATTTCGCCACGTAATTGCGATCTTCTAGCGCTGCAAATCCGGTTTTGATCAGCAATGGCGAAACCTTAGGAAAGATGTTGGCCAAGGTTGACAGCGCCTCAAAGGAAATACTGAGCTTGCCAAGAAGCTTAGCCAAGAAGTTGCGTGGTTTTTCAGGATGATCATTGTGGTCTTTGGGCAATTTTGGCGTGATGTTCATTTGAAAGTGGAGGGTTTCGAAGTGCGAATAATATGTCTCCGGTGGCTTGTTTGGATCCATGTCAATCACCGAGCAGCCTCTCATTGGGTATGGACTGATCAGGATCTCGAAGTGCCTGTAGCGTCGCATCACCTCCGGCACGCCGTCCGCATCGTCGCTGTTCGGCTGGATGAGAGCGAGCGACTTGTCCAGGGTGCTGACTGTACGTGTCTCAGTCAGGTAGTACAGCTGCATGACCTCGATGACAACCGAGTAAACGACGCCCATCGTTCCCATGTTGACCATCACTGCGCGGAAACAGTCGTCATCCTGAATCAGCTGGATATCCACTCCATTGCACGTGTACTGGCTTTGGTTGGCCTTGTACTGCTCTGCGTCCGTAATGCCATTGCTCGGCTCGATGCGGTAGTAGTTGACCGGACCGGACGCCACTCCCGATATCACGTGACCGTCCCACTTGCCCGTGGTGGCGAGCACCAGGGAGCGCAACATGTCCGGGAACGGGGGCAGGTCTATGCCGGTGCCGTGTGTCGAAGTCGAGATGGCACCGATGATGCTCTGCCCGTCGTAGCCACCCATATTGGACAGGGCCAGGCCAGCCTTGTCGAGCGCACGGTTAAGATCTTTAATCCTAATGCCAGCTTCCGTCTCGAAGAGCATAGTGTTATGCTCGAACACATCTCGGACGTGAAGGATATCTTCCAACGAACTATCAAAGTAGATATCAGGCAGATCCTTCACGTCGCGCCATTTCGCTTTCATAGTGTCAGCGCGCCACTCATGCTTCAGGTCTTGCTGCTTGAGTTGTCCAAGAATGGGATCATCCTCGTCAGCTACGCGTCGCAGGGCAACCGTGTCGATGAAGTAATCGTTGGTTGTGGCCACGTCTGAATAGGAGTGGCCAGATCCAGCTGCTTTCACGGTCACTCCGTTGCGGACAGCATCTGTCAATATGTCGCCGATCTCGTCGAGACCGGACGGTTGGCAGAGCTGCAGGGGCTTCACGACCACGTTGGCCAGTTGGTTCTCCCATTTCTGGTGCGTCTCACCGTCCGCTTTGGCCAGGGGCCTGCGCTTGTCGAACAAGCGGACAAGGCTACCGGGCTCGAAGTTGAGCGCTTCCTCCATCTTCACACTGACCTGGTCGTGTACATCCGTGGACGTCGCGCTCTGGGAAAACTGGTGCAGGCTGTCGAGAACATCCTGCAGACTCCGCGGGTCGCTACTTTGAGGATTTCCAGCGTCCACCTCTTGATTTCTTCCTCTCAGTCTCCTGAAGAAACTCAACAATCCCATGGCGATTGGTTGCTGGCACGTGTGTCCGGAGCCGGAGGAGCTTGAGCAAGGCAGGTTCGAAGTCGAGCAGTGCAGCTGGTTATCTGAAGCGGATTTGGTTCGCAGCAGCTATTTGAGCTGGCCGTTCCGGTATGGGATGTGGACTCGGAGACACGCCAGCAGCAGCAGGAGCAACACCGTGTGCATGCAGTCGGTGTTGTACTTGTATTTAAAAGTCGCATCACAAACAGGCAACTATGCCTTCATACATACACAGAGGCAGCGCAACAGTGCTCAAATACCCCGGGCATTGGCCAGAGCGTAGTAGGCAGGAGGTACTTGTAAAAAAGTAAATTATCGTGTCCGTTCCCGAAGGGAACTCATGAATGGAAGTAAAATAGGGCTAGAGTTTCATGGCAAAACAACAATCATCAGACACCTGTTGTCTGCTTCCATTTGTGTACCTCTTGCCTTCTTACATACATGTACATGTTTGAATTTGTACTTTTAGACTCGGGTGGAGAGCCAAGGATTAATGTATGAGAAGAAAAGAGGACCAAAGAGCTACAAGTTACGCTATGATAGTATTTGGATTTGTGCGACTATGTGTGAAGAAATTGTCGTGTCTGCATGTATGATACGAAGATCGACATGTACATGAGTCTGCGACTGGTACATGGCTGAAGTAAATACTTCTACAATAGTCGTATTATGGCCCGCTTGAGCTCTGGACAAACCAAACCATGAACCTCCGGAAGCAAAGCAACAGAGTGATTCAAGTACGTAAACTGAGTTATTTAGCTGGCTAGAACAGATGTTTAGGGTATTCAGCCACATGGTGTCATGTCGGCCTGGGGTGGGCATGGCTTGCTTGCAGGCCAGTACTTCACAAACATGACAACATTCCCGACTGTCACATGATTGTACACAGCCTTCTGTATAGAGAGCGGAGTCCTCAGGTTCGATGGAGTGCTCAATGCAAAAGCAGAGCAGTAACACACGACTCCGTGACACGAGTCACAGAGTACCACGAGTCTGGTTATTGTTGTTGTTGTTGTTGTTGTTGTTGTTGTTGTTGTTGTTGTTGTTGTTGTTGTTGTTGTTGTTGTTGTTGTTGTTGTTGTTGTTGTTGTTGTTGTTGTTGTTGTTGTTGTTGTTGTTGTTGTTGTTGTTGTTGTTGTTGTTGTTGTTGTTGTTGTTGTTGTTGTTGTTGTTGTTGTTGTTGTTGTTGTTGTTGTTGTTGTTGTTGTTGTTGTTGTTGTTGTTGTTGTTGTTGTTGTTGTTGTTGTTGTTGTTGTTGTTGTTGTTGTTGTTGTTGTTGTTGTTGTTGTTGTTGTTGTTGTTGTTGTTGTTGTTGTTGTTGTTGTTGTTGTTGTTGTTGTTGTTGTTGTTGTTGTTGTTGTTGTTGTTGTTGTTGTTGTTGTTGTTGTTGTTGTTGTTGTTGTTGTTGTTGTTGTTGTTGTTGTTGTTGTTGTTGTTGTTGTTGTTTCAAATCTTTATTCTCACGATAGCCAGTGGCCAATAAGAGATAATAGTGTAAGAAAGGAGAAAGAGTGAGGAAGAATTGGGTGGGCAGGGCCTAGGGGTTAATGACTACTTAAGTGTACGGGCAGGGGTGGTCGCCACACGAGCATACAGAGTTGCGTACTTAAGTGTACGGGCAGGGGTGGTCGCTACACGAGCATACAGAGTTGTGCAACAGCAGGGATATCTCGGATTTGAAGGGAGTACGAGAAGGGATTTCGCGAAGCTGGGTGGGCAGGCAATTAAAGTAATGAAGGGCCTTGTACAGGGGAGAATGGAGACAGCGGTCAGTCCGCGGAGTTGGCAAGTGCCAAGTACGAGAGCGGCGTAAATTATACGAAGGTTGCACGTTGCTAGCAGTATGCAGCGAGAGTATATGTGGTGGGGCATAATTGTGGCGCAGAGAATGCGCGAAGAGTATATGTTTAACTTTAAAACGTGAAAATAATGTTGGCCATTTGATGCGATGCAAAAGGTGGGAGTGTTCTAAGTGTGTGTAAAGGGGAAGGTGGAGACATATTCTGGCGGCTTTCCGCTGGAGTCGTTCTAATCTGTCAAGGGAAGTGTGGGACAACGGTGTGAGAGCAGTGCTCGCATATGAGAATATAGGTAGTATGTATGTCTGATAGATGTGAGATAAAGAATCACTGGTGAGTGTAGACCTTAGTCTAAAAAGAATATTGAAAGACTTGAGTGATTTTTTGACTATGTATTCAACATGCTCCGTCCAACGGAGGTCATGCTGAAAGATTATTCCGAGGTGTTTGTGTTTTTGTGCTACGGTAAGCGGACTATTCCTGAGGGTGATCTGGGGTAGCTGTTCAGGGGGGCGGTTATTGTGGTAGAACGGGAGGATGACTGTTTTCTTTGTGTTAACCAGCAGGTGCCATCTTTGAAGCCAGTCTCCAGCTGCTGTGACACTCTGTTGTAGGTTTCGGGTGCAGTCTTGAAGAGTTCTCGCTATGGAAATCAGAGCGGTGTCATCTGCAAACTGGCTACAGGTGGTGCCGGGATTCTCACATGCATGTGGAAGGTCTATGGTGTAGACGAGGAATAGAAGCGGCCCAAGAACAGATCCCTGAGGGACGCCGGCAGGGATCTCGAGGAAAGGCGATAGGTCGCCATCCACCTGGACCCTTTGCCGACGCCCCAACAGGTACCGTCGGAACCACTCCAGGGCGTTGCCCTGGACACCATAGTGGGAGAGTTTCGCTAGAAGGCCTGCATGCCACACACGATCGAAGGCCTTACTTAGATCGAAAAAGCAGGCATTGACGTGTTTCCCGTCGTCTCTCGCAGTGGAGAGGGTATGGACGAGACGGGCGAGCTGCTGCTCAGTGCCGTCTTTCTCGCGGAATCCGGACTGCTGGTTGGGCAGGTGGGGTGTGATGTGCTTGTAGAGGAGTTGATGTGCAATTTTTTCTTGGATTTTTGATGTAGTGCTCAAGAGAGAGATGGGTCTATAATTTGTTGGTTGGGTTGGGTCACCCGGCTTGGGTACTGGAGTAATGGTGGCATCTTTCCACTCCTGTGGGATTTCTCCGGTTTGGAACGATAGGTTAAAGAGGGACGATAACGACGGTGCAAGTTCCTTAGCCGCTTCTTTGAGGAGGCGGTTTGGAATAGAGTCAAACCCGGGGCTTTTGTTGGTATCAACTCCTCGGAGGAGTTTTTCGACCTCAGCTTGGGAAGTCGAGATTTCTTGAAGGGGACTGAGGATGTCAGGGGTGGTGTTGATGGCTGGAGTTTGCTCATCCGCATTGGCCACGGACAGCTTGCTCTGTGAAATGAAGAATTCGTTGAGGGCAGCGGCTTTTTGTGCTGGTGTCGTTGCAGGAGTTGCTTGGCTGACGAGTTCGGGTATGCGTTGTTTTGTAGCTGTAGTTAGGTGCTTCATGAGGCGGTGTAGGGAAGTAGAGGAGGCTGTTGAGTTGTTTACGAAATCCGATTTAGCACGACGCAGGAGGGTGGTGACACGGTTTCTTTGGGCAGTGAACGTGTTCCAGTCGTCAGGCGAGCGTGAGTGAAGGTATATTCTGTGTTTTCTGTGCTTATCCTTGATCTCTTTCAAGAGGCCCTTTGATATCCATGGTCGTGCTGGCACGTCCTTCCTGTCCCAAGGGGGGTGAGTGCGAGTAACTTGGCAGTGTTCTTGGGCGATGCTCATGACATTGTCACGCCAGGATCGCCAGAAGGTGTCAACTGGGCATGGGTCGTGTTGGTTTGGATGGTGGTTGAGATTTGTGCGTGAAAGGGCTTCTCGAAGAAGGTTGTTGTTGTTGTTGTTGTTGTTGTTGTTGTTGTTGTTGTTGTTGTTGTTGTTGTTGTTGTTGTTGTTGTTGTTGTTGTTGTTGTTGTTGTTGTTGTTGTTGTTGTTGTTGTTGTTGTTGTTGTTGTTGTTGTTGTTGCTGCTGCTGTTGCTGCTGCTGCTGCTGCTGCTGCTGCTGCTGCTGTTGCTGTTGCTGTTGCTGTTGCTGTTGTTGTTGTTGTTGTTGTTGTTGTTGTCGTTGTTGCTGTTGTTGTTGTTGTTGTAGAAGATTATTTAACGTCGCACCACAAACAGGCGATTTCGCCTCCTTTGATACTAGTACATGTAGACGACAGAGGGAATAAGAGGGGGGGGGGAGGGGGGCAGAAATACGGAGAGAGGAAGGGTAGAAAATAAATAAGTGAGTCGACCTCAGGGCTACCCTAAAGCAAAAACGGAATGGGAATTCTATAATTATCAGAAATAGCATCATGCAATATTGCGAAACACGTTTCATATTCTTTAGCCCGATGTACCACAGAAACACACTAGCCGAAAAGCATTTAAATAGGTCTTTGTCAATGGAGCTTTATATACAATGTATAATAGAGTTACATGTACATATGTCTCTAGCTACACTGTATACATGTATGTACATGACATTGTAGCGGGAATAGTAGTCACACAAATACATGTAAACTGGGAACCCACCACCTCATGTTCCGAAGGCTAATGCTCGAAGACCATTCTCTTTGCCAAACACGTACATGTACATGTACAGTGCTGGCAACTGAAATCCGACCCCCTTGCCGGTGCGGCGCGCCGGCAAGGGGGTCGGATTTCAGTTACCGCATACATGTACTTATACCATGGTACGGTACGGAGGGCCTGTTTTCAGCCAATCAGCGCTCGTCTAGCCATGGTTATATATTGGCCAGTATAAATCCCGCGCGGGATTTATATCGAATATAAATCCCGGTGCACGGTACGTACGCTAGGGCACTGCCACCGTACAAGTTCACTGCCTGAAAAGGCAGTGAACTTGTACGACGGCAGTACTCCAGCGCACGGACCATTCACAAAAGACACAACATACACCACATGCACGTGCACACTCCACACAGAACGGACCTGAACGGCATTACTGACGAGGAACAGTACACAATGGAAAAGAAAATGTACATTGTATTCGTTTGCATAAGCCTGATCTTTGTAAGCAGAAGAAACATGTAGTTGCGTTAAGATTGTTTTCGTAGGTGCACAGCATGATTGCTTGTCTCAATACACAGTTCTAGCGTTGTAATTAGTTCCTCACCCCTGTTGCACTTAGCTCTCACTTCACTTCTATTGTCTCACCTTCCCTCATTCTATTTTAGCACTTTGTTTTGTTCTCGTAACACATTATTGAATGTATATTAATCATTGATTCAGCATGGTTACTCTTCAATGTACATTGTACTTCGAATAGTTGAAGATCATCAACAGACTGTCTCCTTCGTATTAAACTAAGTTTATGATACAGAGTTTACTTCAAATCCACCTAAACCGATTGGAAAACGCTAGAATGGATTGAAATGTGATACAGTACAGTGATACAAAACAGTGTATGCAAATGCATATACTTGCAAGTAAGCAAAACTGATTATAAGATGCCGCATGTGAAAATCAGTACTGTACCATAATCATGCTATTAAATAGTAACACTTAATCCCAAAGAGTCCAAACTGTACTGTAGTCTAACTAGTGACGGTAGTTTGATTCAACGACAACTCCAGCACCCCAGCTGACTTCCGCATCGCTCACGAGACGACATGCTACAATATGCACTGGAACTGAAAGGAAATCTTATGCCAAACATCCACGGAGGAATCTCCTTCTGACCTTGCTCGACCATTCTTTCATACTGACAACTGATAACCAGAAGAACATGTTCATGTACTGTATGATGTAGGAGATCTCCAAAATAGGTTCGTTGTTCTGGAAATGCGTAGGGGTACCTGGCATAAGTAGGATATGACCCTCGTAGGCGGGTTATACCGTACCCTCATATAAATCCCTCCTGCTATCGCAGTCGCGATTTATATTCAGCCGGTGTAACCCTCTGACTTGGGTCATATCCTCTACATGTACGTGTGTAATAGGTAGCCGAGTGTTAGGCGCGGTGAAATCAACAATAATTACTTTTATTCTACTTTCAGGTACACACCTGAGATATAATCGTTCGTGAAAGAAGAAGCGGCAAAATAAATAACTTTCTCTCCGGTGCTCACCTAGAGGCTGAATCCTTATTCTTCGAATTAGCTTTCATTGCTATCCAATCTAATCTAATCTTCTCTTCATCAAAACAAAATGCGCAGCCGCTTATATGCAGCAGACGCCGTACGCTTACATACGGAGATACACTAAATATACATCAGGCAAAGCTCCGTATTAGTTCCGTACTGCTTCCGTATTGGTCGGGCAGGGATACTACACCCTCCCTTCCTACAGATAATCACGCCCTCGTGATTTTCAAAAAATTAGTGAGGAGTTACGAACAACAGCGTCAACCGGAAGATGGCAAATTATATCGGAAATGATAACGTTTAGAGTAGACAGAAGAAATGAACTGATAACAAATC